TACCTATCTAAGAAAATAGGTGCAGCAATACACAAGCAAATAATTATAAGGCAGAAACGGCCGCGGCACCGGGCGGCACTGACCTGAAAAAATACGATATCGTTAGCCTGTAGTACGTCCTTAAAAGTCATTTTAAATGACTGTGCTAACGCTTCCTTGTTCCCACCACGAAATTTTACTGGTCTGACCCACTGGTAAAAGTGAACTAGTACAGTTACAGTCTCTTCTTCCTGCGCCATTTTATCACATTTGACTCGTCAAATCCCGTCAAATCCCCACCCTCGGGGTGTCAAAAACAAGAAAATCCCGTATTGAGCCCGACCCTGTCCCGTGACGGGAGGGGTGGGGGCTAATATTGATAGGTGCATAAGCAAGATGTTGCCAGAAATAGAAGGCTGTTCTACTTCTGGCAACATGTTGCTTACAAGATCGAAGTAACCACAAATGTTGCTAGCAACATGTTGCCTAGTGTATGGGGGCCTTTACATACACCGGGCCCACACTCTATCCTCAAGTCAACCCGGCAATGGGAAAAATAATTAAACATACAGTCTACAGAGATACCTAGTCCTCCTCCATTCCCTACTCTACCATTAGACTCCTTTACATCTTGTTGGCACTGATACAAGGGATCAAGCAGTCTTGCAAGCCAGACCCTTGTGTACTAGGACATTAATGTCATCATCATAGCTTGCCCCTTTTAGCCAACTCAAGTGGTCAATAGAAGCCTTAAGTCATTGACAAAGACGATGATAAAATTATTTTTGAATACTCTTAAAACTTGGTCATTGAATAATAAGAAAAGATAATTATATCTAAAACAAACTTTAAAATTTTTTTTATAATAATTATTTCATAACTGAATGTATTGCATTAGCCAAATAGCCAATTTCACTAGTTCTCAAAGCTACTACTGGGACACGACCTGTCTTACTCATGTAGATGGCATAATCTTTTTCTAGCATTGCAACCTAAACAGAGTATAAAGTTAACACTGACATGCTTTCAATGCAATAAAGTATTATAAATTATTAAAAAAAATAATATGGTATAGCTCCAAATTTTCTTCGGTCAAAATTTTCCTCAAACTCATCATGTATTTTTATTTGAAAAATTTTTAATTGACAAAATTTTTGTTCTGCAGAAATTGTGGATCAATAACAAAGATGATAAAAATTTGAAAAAAATTAATTTTTAACAAAAAATCAAGATTTTGACAAAATTTTTGATCGACAAAAATTTGGAGCTATGCAGCTTTATAAATGTAGATATTACAATTATATACTTTTAAACATCTAGATTATTATACTTATAGATATGTGACCTGTTCTTCAGAGAGGCCAGTGAAACAAAACCATCCTTTCTGTCTTAGAATATGAGACCAATCTCTCTTAGATCCTATACATACAAGGACATTATCATCACAAGGTTATCATGCATTATGTACTGATTACCAGTTTTAACTAATGCATCATGAAAGGCAACCCTCTTTGACTGTATGTCTTCAAAGACAACATTAAACTCCTTTAACCTATAATAGTGCATTTCACGTAGTATATACCA